CACCATCAGGTTTGGCTGATTGCGCCTGCCTCCACAATTGTTTCTCTAGGTCAACACAAACATAACTGAACAGCACTTTCTTTCTCCTTTATGGTTCTCCCTTTCTATTCATGATATTGGCAGTTTCATACATAAAATACAGAAAAAGAATTGGCTTTTGAAAAATTATTACTCTTGGAAATTAATTTGGCCGTGTAGGTCTATTGGCTGGCAAAGGTCAGACGACCTTAAGCATCAACAGTAAACCTCTTGGTCTTCTGATTGCTTTATCATTGTTTTTTTTTTTTTTTCCTGTAAAACAGAAACAAAACTCAGAAATGTTACAGAATCAGAGTATTAAAAAATGTACAAGTGTATACGCTTCCCAGACACACATGGATACTTTTTTCCTCCACATTTTCACCATGGCAGTATAAGTAGTGAGTGTGAATGACAGCATGAAGCTGGTTACTGAATCAGCTATGAGCTCACATGGCCTCAACACGTACTCAAGAAACGTTGCATGTTTCAATAACTGAACGTGTGCTATGTTTCATCTAAAGAAAAGGCGGGGAGGGGCTGGGGAACTCAGGCCACAGTCACGAAAGGATGAAATACAATTTCTGGGTTTGATAGGTTCACCATATCGAAGTCTTTGAGAATCCAATATGGAATATCAATTATTTGCAAAAGGCGGAGAAGGCTGTTCTCAACTCTTGCAAATGGAATACAGTGGAAAAACACAGTTGTATGTATTTCAAATAAATAGTCTTGATTTCAATGCCAACAAAACAGGAAGGGTACTTTTGAGCATCTCACAGTCAAGTCAGAAATGATCTTTCACGTGGGTCTGATTTCAGAAATGCAACAGCAAGATGCAGCACCATAGACACATCGGTTTCGGCCGTTAAAAGATGGATCGTTTTAAAAATTGTGTTTTCCTTCCTTAATTTTTGGTCAGTGAAGCTAGCACTTGTTTGCTGAACTGTGGAAGAACTGCAAGGTCACACACATTATTCATGATAAAGCAACCGAGCTGACAAGTCTGTGCTTAATTCAAGAATAACCAGTAGGAGAGAGAGAAAACACAAGGAGCTAACCACCACCGCTGGTGCTCTCTCAAAGAGGGGTGAACGGGTGAATTCACAAAGGTAGGCAGATCTATACAGAACACTGAATGCCATGTGTAAATCCTCATGAAACTTCAGAAACAGGAACACCACACAATGTATATACTTTGATTTACACATTCCATTACAAAGGAAAAAAAGACACCATTACAACTTGGTAACTGTGTTAACTGCAATATAAACCAAAGTCCAGAGTTTGGCAGGTAACTAAAAGAGGGTTATCACTTAGGTTATATAGCAAAAGTGTTGATGTATATTATATATAGTAGTATAAATAATAAAAAAGTATTATTTAAATTAGATCACAGTGCTGCATTATGTGCATAACAGTGTTTGATATAGTATTGGTGGGCTGGGACCTACGACACCAAGGACTTAACTGTCAACACTGGTAAGTCACAATCAAGAGGGGACACAGAGTTCCAATGTTTTCTTTTGGTGGCAAAAATCCTGAAGATGAAAGAAAAATACTTCTCTACAGAAACATAAAAAATAAGTCGCAACATCTGGGCAGCTGTGATCCACCAGAAAGAAACCAGTCCCAACCTGAATAAAGTTTAAAGGGAAAGAGAAATCACACTGAATTGAATCCAATCTCATAGAGAAAACCCTCGCATTTAGGTCACTTGTACAAAACTCTGATTCCTTCTCAAAGCCTTTCTGTGAGAGGCTAAGGGCCCCCGCACACAGCGGACTCATTGCAACTTGAGTCAGTAGCACTTGGTACTGAGCAGACCTGGTGTGTTGCAGGACTCTGAGCTGGGCACAAAAGCCATCCTCATGGTTTCTACTCTACAGAGCCCACTGCCTGAAACTGTTCCTCAGGCAGGAGCCTCCAACACAATGGCCTCTTCCACAATGCCCTGTGGTAGTAACTGCTGTGGCCAGCAAGCACTAGACATGTTGAATACCTCTAGAAAAAAAAAATAATAATAATAAAATAAAATAATGAAAAAAATAAATCCATTTTGGGAAAGGCCTCTGGTATATTCCTTCTTAAAAACTCAGCCCCGAGATTGAAACCTGCCACAGATGTCTTGGCTGTGGTTTTCTCGAACCATTATCAAAACGTGGGTTTGGTTCATTTTAGTTTCAGATAGATGGTTTTACCAAAGAACTCTTGAAAGTATACTGTTTATAGAGGGGGAAGGGAAGTAGGAGCTTATGGTATATTATAAGGCTGGGAAAAATCTATGATGCGAACCCTTTCCACATAGTACTAAAGATAAAAGACAATTATAGTAGGATAAAAATAACTGTCTATGTGTATATCATTTAAGAAAAAAAGAGCGACAGTCTCTTTCTCTTAAATGTGTCTGAGGGCCAATAGCCAGTAATCGTAGATGTCATGGTGCTGATGTGTTCACCGTTGGTTTCCAAAGCATCTTTAAATATTGCTATAGTTCCCCGTTTCCCCCTCCCCCCGCCCCGTGTGAGTATGTGAGATACTGGAATGACACATGAACCACCACTTCTCCCAGCAGGAGAAATGAAAGCAAAAACACCACACCCCTTAATGGTGCTCAAGCGATCTGTCGGACTAATGGATACATATGCTAGTTTGGAAGCTAAAAGAACACCTGACGTTTTGGGAAGGAATTCCAAGACTAAAGTGAATGACACTTAAGCAAAAAATTCTTTCACAAATAGGCTTGTGCTTAAATTCTCTACTGCTCTTGGAGGAGGGGATAAGAGAGGGTGCCTCCTGCCCCTTGGCTTGTTAAGGACATGGACAACCTCATTCCGTAATGAATTCACTACAAACAGCCACATACACATTGATACTTTTGTTTTTGTTTTTTTCTCAACGGTCAAAATACAAAGTCAAACACAATTGAGCCATTGTTTTGGTTATGCATAATGTGTATGCCTCCAAAAACAGAAGAAAAATAGAAAAAAATTACCCTCGCTAAAGGTTCCCCAACAAGTCTTCCAGCAGATCCAACGAAGGTGGCAAGGGAGACTCAGGAAAATAACACTTAGAAAGCTGCCCGATGAGGTATTTATGCAAAAAGAGTGGTTCTGGAGTTAAGAACGCACTTTTATAAGATATTTCTCTATTTCTCAAAGAGATCAGAAAAGTAAATCACACACATTGCATTTTATTCTTTTCTAAAAGAGGACTCTGCCCCTTTAGAAAAATGAAATGAGGGGAGACAGCCCACTGTGGGGTTTGAATTGGAAGAAGTCCTCTGCCAGAAATAGTCCTGAATGTTTACCTCTGCCTTTCGGGAGAGAAGTCTGGATTTTATCATCTTGGGGTGGGGTGAGGGTCGGGGATTGAGGTGGAGGTCTTTTGGGCTTGGTCAGGTGACAACACAGATCAAGGTGTTGTGCAGATTCCATAGCTGTGGATGGCTTTAGGGTGTCAGATGTTTGGGAGATGGAGGGAACAGAGAGCACTGCAAAAATACATCTTTATTCCCATCCATATACCCTGAACAAAAATGCTGGAAGTATTCGGGTTCAGGTCATGAATTTGACCTGGTGCAGAGGTGTTGATTTTTTTTTAAGGTTCTCTCAGCAGCAGTGCACAGGAAGGTAAGTATGGGAAATGCACCACTGTCCTGGCTGATGGAGCTTCTGACGTACCTGGTCCTGCCAGATGGGCTCGGCTTTGGCCCACGACTGTCCCTTTTTAAAAACTCAAGGTCACCTCAGTTCCCTCCCTCTCCCCCCACCCTCATATCCTGAGCCACGGTAGTGGGTGTTTTTGTTTGTGTTTTAAAGTTTCCCTCCATTTGGATGGAAGATCATATTCTTCTAGAGATTTCTCTCTGGGTCCCCCCCACAAAAAAAAAATTTTTTTTTTCTTTTTTAGGCAAAGATAACAGGAGTTTCTGGTCTGTGTGACATCATCTGGTTGTCTAAATTCAGCTCTCTCAATCTAGGTGGTCTTAATTCCAGGTTGGTTAGTGTGCTGAGGTGGTAGCAATGGCCAGCCTCTCCTTCCTATTGCGAAATGGCATCGTCGCAATAAAATACCTGGGGCTGGCCTTCCCAACGTCTGTGTCACTTCCTCCTTCATGTGTACCCTATCTCGTACCCTCACCCAATAAGGCCCATTAGCACGTTTCCCCTTCTTCTGGCTAATTTGCATAATTATTCACTGCCTTTTTCCTAGAACCAAATCACGGTAATGATTTTCTCAAGTAAGCGTCCCATAATTCTCTTGATTCTATCATACACACTCACTACTAAGTTTGCCCTCAAATTATTGCGTCATGTTAAACATGTACAGACAAAGAGAAAGGACACACTTTTCAACAGAGAATCAGAGGGGGTCGGGGCTGAAGTGCACGCAAGGCGGTACAGAGTTCAACCATCCAAGCCCTACCAGAGCATGAAGATATTTTTATATTGCAGAGTAAGTTCCCCAACAGTCAGAGTTTGTCCCTGAAGAAGGTTAAACCTTAAACACCTGCTTCAAAAAACCAAAACAACCTGAAAGAAAAAAACCAAAATCAAAACAAAACCAAAAAAAAAAAAAGAAAAAAGAAAAAAGAAAGAAAAAGAAAGAAAAACGAAGAAAACCAAAAGAACCTCTAAGCCGAAGGGCTTAAAAATTAGAGGCATAGCCTTTTCTCTATTTTCTATATTTATATGAAAATAATTCATGCTTCATGCTAAATACATTATTTACCTTACAAGAACTTTGTTATTTTTGAATAAAAAAAGTTTGTTTTTGTGATTTTTTTTTCTTTTTCTTTTTTTTCTTCAAAGGAATCCATGCATTGTGGATCAGAAATTTCTGCTGGCTACACTGGCTGAATGTGGAAATCAATGATTTTCGCAAGGATGAATCCTGACTGATATGAATCGCAAACTCCATTTTGAGGGCAGTATAGGAGTTATTTGATTTTTTTTTGCCAAGTTTTACTTTTTTTCCCCCCATCAATGTGCCTTTAATCTTTTAAAAATACACCACAATACTAATGGCAGGTTCCATAGCTTTCTGTTTTTTTTTTTTTTTCACTTGGATCAAATAGTTTTGACAGACAGAAAAAGATCGGTACCATTATTTCCTTCCTTAACAGCTACTGTAATTTCCTGGACTTGGTCGCTTTTCACGTGGGCAGTTAAGAAGACATAGCTTGTTTTCTGCATCAGTTTTCTCTTACTGTCCTTTGTGTTTGTGTGTGTGTGTACGTGTGTGTGCGCGTGTGTGTGAGTGCACAGGGCCAACCTTCAGGCTTATGGCTTTTGGAACATTTTGTTAATTTAATATCGAACAGAATTCAATGATTAGCAACACCACTAAAAATTTACCCCATTTCTTCTCATTAGTCACTGACACCTGATGCATGCGAATGATCCAGTGTCCACCTCCTAAGACGATACCAGGCTTCAGGGCTAAGAAGCACAGAGGACCGGTGGCCGGCCCCTGTGCCCGCTGCGTGACAATGCCAAGGGCTCTGCTGGCACGACTGGACCTCTGGTGCCACAAACTTGGGTCTGCTCCTAGGGGGACGAGGAGTTCTTCCTTCTCCCCAATCGCTTTCTGTGCCTTCCTTCACTCAGTGAACCCCACTGGATGGACATCCTGACTTTGTAAACCTAAGGGTCGGACCTGAACGATGAGGATTTTGCACACGTGCCTTCTAGGTGCCGAATGTGTGTTCCTGTGGCATTATTAACGTTGACATCTGTGGGTTCAGCCACATGTTCTCTGACAAGCTGGAGGAAGCAATGGTAATTTTGGCTTTTTCAGTTATGTCTTCGGATAATGAAAAGCTTTTGTAAAACAGCTGAGTGTCAATATGAGTTCTATGGCTTCAATCTCCTTTAAAAATAAAATTCTTAAGGGTCCAAAACAAAGGAGAGGGGGGCAAATTAAAAAAAAAAAAGGAAAAGAAAAGAAAAGAAAGAAAACCAAACCAAAAAAAAGAAAAAAAAAAAAAAAGAAAAAGGAAAAAAAAATTGCTGATATTGCCACAAATCATTAGAAATCTCCTGACATGCTGAAACCAAATGGCCGTAAGTTCAAAACAAATCAGTGACTTGTTTTTAATTTTTTGTGGTTTCCTTTTGCTCTTTCTGCCCCTTTGCCGTCCGATTGGTGATGTTATTCAAACAGGACCGGATCCCCGCCAAGTGCAGGAGTGACCCGGCCGCTTCTTTCATCTCCTCGTCGTCGCTCTCGGGGGGCTTCTCGGTGCATCTCTTTTTGAGGGGCAGGGTGTCGCTGGGGACCTTCCTGGCCTTGGCGAAGTGCTGGCGCTTCTTGTGCTGGGATGCGTACCCGCTGTCCCCCAGCGCATCCTTGGGCTCCTTCTGGCTGTGTTTCCTGTCGTCCTCTTCCGTCTCGCTGTGGCTCCCGTGGCTCTGGAAGCTGCCCTCGCTGCCCTCGCTGCCCTCCTGGCTCCCCTTCGCGGCAAACTCGTAGTGGTCGTCGGCCGAGGAGGAGGAGGAGGACACGGAGTCGCTGGCGGGGGAGGTGCTCCGGGCGTTGGAGGACTTGGCACTGCTATAGTTGTGATCCTCCTTGGGGTCTCCGCTGACCACCGGGGAGCCACAGGACGGCTCGCTTTCAGTCCGCATGCGGCAGCTGGTGATGCCATTCCTGCGGGGCGAGGACAGTGGGGAGGGAGGGGGGCAAAGAAAGGACACGGTTAGACCCCCTCAGACGCGGGCACCTGGAGGCCCACCTGCCTTCAATCGAGACACTCGCAAACCCCAGGGCGACAGGTGGCTCTGCTTCAAGGCAGGATCCTAAATCCTGACATCTTAGTCTTCCCCGCTTAGCTCCTATCATTGGCATTTTTCACTCAATTGGTGTGGCTGAGACGTCAAAACAACACTCTTCTGAAGTGACAGCAGTGGAAGCTCAATCTCTTCCATTAAACCGTAAAAATCAAGCTGTGCTTGCCTCGCATACCCGCCAACACCACGGAGTCAGACACCGCCAGACGACGCTGGCTGGATACTTCAGAGAAAAAAGCATGCTCTCTTCTGAAGCTGCTACATTAGGAGGCTTTTGTCAGAGGACTCAATCCAGCGCTCAGCAAAAAGATACCTGCCATGTGGTGACGGCTCCTCACTCACGCATTCCCTCCCTCATTCATGCAATCTACAAATATTCACCGAGCGCCTAATAGAAACGCATGACCTTAGGGAGGGTCCTAGGGGAGGGACACGGGGTTGGATCAGATGCACACGCTGCCACAAAGATGCTACAGTCTGACAAAGAATCAAGTCATAGACAGATCATAGTGAGAGAGCCGTAAGTTACCATTTCCTGAATTCACCACGTGCTAGGCGCCTGCTAAGTGTGCCCAGGTGATCCTGGGGATGTCACCATCCTTCTTTTATGTTGGCTGAAGTGAGGTCTGGAGAAGTTCAGTGACTTACTTCAAGCCCCACAATTAATCAGTGGCACAGTGGGGACTGGAACCAAAGTCTGACTCTCAAGCTTGAGCTCTCAGCGTCATCGTACTGAGTCTCCCTGGTGGCTTCCCTAGAACGAGGTCCCTGCTACACATTCCTATCAGGCCTCCGTAGCACTCAACATACCTGATTACTTTGTGTCTTTACCTCTGGGGAATGTACTGACCTCCCTTGTGTTGCCTTCTTGGCAAAGTGAATAGCAGCGACACCCACTTCACAGGGTTGTTGGGATGAGGACGTGAGTTAATGCCTGCAGGTGACCGGCATGAAAACGACAGGTGTCGTTAGGCCACACATTCCTTGTGTCTGGGCAGCGGCCACACACCTGACTATGCCTGGCACACAGAAGAGGCACCTGCCCTTCGGAGGGATGCAAGAGTGACTTATACCTGGAGAGGACAGAGAGAGGGCACCAGGGAAAGTTCTGTGGAAGGTGTGGCCCCTGACCTTGGACACGAGGGCTGAAGGATTTGGGCAGGGAAGAGAGATGTTCTATGATACCCTGCTGGTGCCATTTCTTGTAAGCTCATCTACCTCATGATACACTTCTAAGAGTTCTGGGGAGCACAGCCATCCTTTTCCTGCCTAGAGGACACTGACTATAAGGACTCTTACTTTCCCTTCATAGAGAGCACTTCCCACCATCATCATCAACTGGGTGGTGACTTGTTCGACATCTGTGCTTCCCACTGGAGTGCCAGCTCCACAAGACAGGGCCCGGTCACTGCTACGTCCCAGGGACTAGCTGGCACTGTGCCAGCAGAGTGGACACCCCACAGACATACTGAGGAAACTCAGCAGCAGGTGGAATGGCGCTGCAGAGGGTACGAAGTCTGGGCAGTGATGGTGGGTCTCCAGCGCTGTGACTTACCAGACCCTCCCTGAGGATACGGCACTGGTGGGAAGACTGTGGGGTCGGGACCACCAATGAGACATAGGAGTGAACCCCCATCACCACCCTGGTGGGTCTCGAGGCTCAGGGAGACCTCGGTGGCATCTCACACAGAAAGTGACAAGGGAGGAAATAGTCGCTGATGAAAAGGGCATAGCAGGGAGTGACATGAAGGAGTCTCTTTCCTTCTGGGCTTCCAAGGCCTGTGGTACTCTGCTCACTTTACCCTGGTGGAGAGAATCCTTACTGTGATGTCCACCAGCAGAACGCCCAAAGGCCATTATCACAATGTGACCTTTGCGAGCTGCCCAAGAGCACATGGCGACCTCTCCCAATTGCAACATGTGCATGTGAACAATGGGGCCCTCGTGTGTTCCAGAAGGTCCCAGTGTCTGCCCTATGCTCCATGATCCCAGATCTGTGCCACCTCCCCCTGACCCTTAAAGAGAGAGAGCCTGGTTTTCAAGCCAGACAGACATGTGCTCGTATCCCAGTGTTGCTTATTAGTGACTTTGAGCAGGCTGTTATCCCTCTTGGACCCTCAGCTTCCTCAGGGACCACACCGGGCCATGTGAGGATGAACTGAAACGCCTGAGCGCAGAGGAAGGTTCTCAGTGGTGCCTGATAGTGTCTGCTCTGCGTGCTGCCAGGTTCCTGCTGCTTCCTGCTACTGGGATGTGCTTATGCTGTGCAGCCTTGTTCTCTCCTCCTATTCCGGGCCAGGAGGCACACGGGAACCCGGTGTAAAGTAAGAGTGAAGAGGCCCCTAATGAGGAATCCCGCAGGCTGCCTGCAAACACAGCCCCCAGCTCTGGGGACCAGCCTCTTCCACGCCTGTCTTCTGCAGACTCCTGTTTCGTGGCTATGTCTTAGGTGCAGAAAAATGGCTGGAATAAGATTACTTCGAGGCGTTCCCAAGCATGAAACTTGGTAAATATAATTAATTGTACAGCTAGCTATTAATGGTTACTAAAGCCAATGAAAATGAAAATCTCATACTACAGTTTTTGTGATCTTTGTTGTGTAGGTAACTGATGTAACATAGAAAAATAATTAGTCTACTGAACTAGCATTGAACAGTTTTACAGTGAACTACACTTGGATGAGTACACTGGGCTATGTTTGGCTTCTAACAAATCAATTCAGTTATGAATCCTTCTTTTTTAAAATCACTTGGGGGTTATGATTCACTTCTCCACAGTGAAGCAGAACAGGAGGCCGTCTGAGCACACACGGATGGGGCGACAGCCATGGGAGCAAGGGAGTGGGCGACACGGCCCGCGCTGCACGGTGCTCGTTCCTAGTGAGTGGAGATGAAGGGTATGTGACGTCCACTGTGCTTTTCTTTCCTCTTTTTCTATAAATTTGAAACATTTTTAAATAAAAAGTTTGGGGCATGGGGAGAAATACACTAGAACCAAAGCAAGGATATTAAATTTTAGCTCCGTACCATCACAAGAGGAAAGGTTTTAAGCCTGAGAACTTTTCTCTCTTTCTTAAACAGGGAGACAAGCAGCACTAGAGAGGTGCTAAGCACACAGTAGATCCAATCTGAAACTTTCTTCTTAAAGAGATTCCCATGAATTCAAAGAAGAATAGAAAAGAAAATTATTCGCCATCCCCTGATTGGATGCCGTGTCGGGCAGAGTCTCTGGTCCCACCTAGAACCACACTGCATGCCAACGGAGATTCTGAGACCCACACCTTGGAAGCCTGGTCTACACCAACCCTTTTAAAGACAAACAGAAACTCAGAGGGCCCCATGACTTGTCTGAGGTGGCCCAGCTAGTTCTCAAAGATGGTTCAAGCAGGAATTTGAAATATCTCCCTGTCACCCCCGAAGAAGGAAGTTTACTGTGATGAAGAAGAAAATCAATACACCCATCATCAAAATTTCTGGATGAAAATAGATACACAGACATAACTTCAGGGAGTGAGAATTAAAACATAAACATATCCCTTACTCATCTGATGAAATTAACTTTCCCTGAGATTTTTAGCATGGGCTGATAATCCACAAATTACAAACAAAACTCAGCAGGAGGTGACAGGCTCCTTCAATTAATAACTTGGTGCAATGTTATTTGTGATGGTGCAAGCCAGCTGCACTGACTTGGTGTCAAACGCTCCCCGCTGTAGGGGCTGTCATTACAGGACGCCAAATGCTTAAAAGAAACCAGCCATTCTGAACATGTGGAAGGTAAATTTCTAACCACCTCCTCAAAAATCATTCATTAAAACGAACATGTGATACATCTGAAATGCCTGCAATTTTTCAGTTTTAGAGGAATTTACGTGTACTGATACTCACAATTATCATAAATTAGCATAAATTAAAGCCACCTGATTTTACTAGGCCTCTAAAAGTTTAAAGCACTTGACTCAGGCCAGGAGCAGTGGCTCACGCCTGTAACCCTAGCATTTTGGGAGGCTGAAGTGGAAGCATCGCTTGAGCCCTGGAGTTTGAGACCAGCCTGGGCAAGAGCGAGTCCTCATCTCTACAAAAAAAAAAATAACAATAATAACTAGCCAGGCACAGTGGCATGTGCCTATAGTCCCAGTTACTCAGGAGGCTGAGGCAGGGGGATCACTTGAGCCCAGGAGTTGGAGGCTGCAGTGAGCTATGAGGATGCCATTGCACTCTAGCTTGGGCAACAGAGTGAGACCCTGTCTCCAAAAAAAGGACACGGCTCAACAAAACCACATGCTATTAATCTCAAATAAAAACCTGGTATTCATTCTCTCATCAAATATTGGGAAATATAAAAAGTGAGGAAATCCCATTAGTTCAAGCTGAGAACGAGCAACGCTTGCAATGAACAAGTTAAAGTATAAGCTATGACATGACCATTTTGCTGGTTTTTTCCTACCAATTAATTATTTGTTCCATTACAGTATAATGAGCATGTGTCACCTCCATCTCTTACCTGGTGCACCAGGGTTCTCTCTGGAACTGATGGCTTTAAACCTAGAGGCTATCATTTGGGGAAATCGTCCTTCCAAGGGATTTACTTGAGGACTCTGATCTTTTGCCAAATGTAAAAAGCAGATGGAATTAATGGGATTGTAGAAGCAGGGAACTGGAGCGAGTTCAATGCTTCTGTCCAAAACCATGCACAAGTAGAAAGACATGGAAGAAAAGAGATGACCAGGGACTTCTACTTCCAGCCAGGTGGCAGGAGAGACATTTGGAAGAAACTCTTCTGACTATAATATCAAAGATTCTAGATAAAGTGCAACGACATATTTGAAAGGCATTGCTAGGTTCACTAGAAAATAAGAGG